AAGTGAGTTGGCAGTCTCAGTAGAATTGCTAGTGGGCAAGTATCTATGGGTACATCTACACTGCAAATTGAGGAGTAATTGTAGCATGGTAAAGCACCTACAGTAGCTTTAATCTAGCTAACATGGATAACAATAGCCGTGAAGATGCAGCAACACAGACCCACCCCATCATAAATAGCAACTCGAGTACATTCCCAGGGTCCCTGGCAGACCTGAAGTGGGGCAGCTCGCTCCCACTGAAGCCTGTGCCACAGCATCTTCATTGCCATTGTTATCCACACTAGCTAGATTAAACCTCGAGCAGATATGCCTACCGGTCCCACAATTACACCTTAAACTGCACTATAGGCATACCTTTAATTACAATTACCTCCACAAACAGCATCCCTCCCTATTGTTGATCCTCCTCAGAGAAGCTAAGGATTGGAAAGGCATGGAAACTTATCTCCCCCTTGCAACACTTTTCTGTCAGGGTAAGGATGAAGTATACTGACCAATTAGTATGGGGAAGTTTGTACTACTTGTTTGTTTGATAAGATGTTTCCATCCTGGTCCTGGCAGTTGAACACTGCACCAATCACCTGCAGTAATTCACTATTTTAAATAAACACAAGATACAGGGTCACATACAGCTTCCTTGTATCTAATTGCTTATATACAGATAGAGAAAATTTCACAAGAAATTTGAGAGTAAAATGATTTAACTGTTTTCATCTTACTACTTAAAAATTATTCCTAAAGAGATACAAGATGTCCAGCTGGCCAGACTACAGAAAGACAGCAGTTTAGATTCTCTTCTCCACTCTAGAACGTTCTATATGCCTTAGGATCAATGCACTCTTCTCTTACTATGCTGACATTCTTTCCCAAACTTGACTCTAAGACCAATATATATGAAACATACAAAACATTAAATTTACTTGTCTGAATTGGAGCAAGCAAAGAATAATATCAGCATAAAGAAGAAAACTTTTTCTGACAAGAGGAATGTTCACACAAATACTCTCCTTTTCTTTGTGTAGTTTTACAGGAGCCAACGCACCAGAGTGCTGCTCTACAGCTTAATTATTTCCTGTTAGAGCTTACAATTTTAAACTTCCAACAAATTCCCCATAATACTGTTTTAAAGGTTTCTGTAATGTCCACATCAAGAAGATGGAGCTCGTCCTTATGTCTGGCATGTCAATTAATTCCTTCCCACTTCAAAATAAGCAAATTATGTTACAAATGCAAGTATTTTTACATTTTTCCTAGCAAGCTAATCCAATAATTTAAAATATCTATTTTAACACAACTGCTGAAGTGTGAACAAACATCTCAATCATACCAAAGCTTAAAGCCTTCATCTTGATTAAGAAGCTTCAGAGAAAATACAAATATGGGACAATATTATCCAAACGTTTTGAGAAATCTCACTTTTCACTGGTATTTTAAAGGAAAAGCTTCAATTACACATGGGTATCTCTCATCTTTATGAATATATCAACTGAATTCATGCAAGTATCTTACCTTTAGAAAATGAATGTAAGGAACAACACTGTTTTGTCAGGAGATGGACTAGGTGAGGACTTTTCCATCTGTAATATCCAGGATTCTTTTTTTCCCCTGTAAAACAGACAAAGCACTTATAGAGCACCTTTCACCAAAGAATCTCAAAATGCCTTAGAAGTATTTATCTTTTTGACCCAAAGTATTCTAGGGACCATGATAGGTATTCTAATTATAGCATACTTCCCAAATGAGGAGAGTTAAAGAAGCCTCCCATTTCTCTCTGTGAGGTAGATATTAGATTTATTTTACAGGTGGAAGAAAGTGAGGCAGAACAGTTAAGTGATTTAGCTAAGGTCACAGAACTAGTCAGTGATAGAACTAAGAAAAGAAACTAAGAGTCTTGACTACTAGCTCGCTGCTCTAACCATGAGACTCATGTCTAGCCTCATAATAGATCTTTAGTATTTATTTCATACATGCATACAAACATCCTCAAAAAAAATCTCTATTCACAAACACATATATATATATAAAGTAGCAACTAAAATTATATTGATATAATTTGTTATATCAATATAACTTGTGGCATTAGTTTTTCAGGAACCATCACTTTGAGTTCAGTGCCATGGTAAAAAAAAAACCTCAAGCAGGTCCACCCCTCTTCTTTCTAGGCTTAAGTACTAAGCGGTAGAACATTAATTCAGTTGTTTACAATGATTAAACCTTCCTCCACATTGCCAAAAGTGATTTTTCCCCCCATGTACACCAGCTGAGGTAGAAAAGGAAACCTGAGCCTAACAGTTCCACCAGCTTGTCCAACCTTCAAGTATGTAAGGAGTGAATTTAAATAGTCCAATGTTTTAGAGATCTAAGCTTAGTTTTGGAAAACTTTAGGCTATGGGAATAACAGGATCAAAGTACATCAGCATGAACTCATGCCTCTGTATTTCCTCCACAGACTCTCCCTGTCTGCATTTATTCCAAGAGGAACTTTTAGATGATATTGTAGCAATCAAGGTCTCATTTGCACTCAGAATACACTATAAACAGGAGGTTGTGAGCTGATTTCCTTATATGACATTTTCATTGTCCTCACTTTAGGCTGATTAGTTTCTTCACTGATTTTTCAAAGGCCAAACTGAAATATGGAAAAAGTAAATGAAGACATGAGATGTGGCATGTACTCTGGATTATGAAAAGTTATTTTTTAAATAATACAAAGTATTAGAGAAAAAAGGAAGTTTGTTTACAAGATATTATAAGATGACAGTGTTCTTTGTTTTTATTTCCTGTACATCTATCTATATATATATATATACATATATATACACACTTAAAATACCAGGGACTATATAAGTCATTGAACTCTTTCTCCTATCCCATACCACAAACTCACGTAAGGCTCTTTCTGAAGATGGGTCTTTGATGCACAGTCAAAGGCCTGATCAGTACTCCCATTGAAGTGATGGCAGAAGAACTATTGACTTGAGTATGAAAAAGTATACCCCTGACTGACACAGCTATTCCAACCTAACCCCCACTGCAGACACAGCTATATAAACGGAAGAATACCTCTGTCAACGTAGCTACCATCGTTTGGTGAGGTGGTGTTCCTGTACCAATGGAAAAACCCCTTCGGTTGGAGTAGGCTGTATCTACACTACGGATTATGTCAATGTATCTACAGAGACTCCTATAACTTGTATTATATTAATAGACCAAGTTTGGGTGATAAAGGTAATAGTATTGACATAACATACTTAGACTTTTTCAGGGCATTTGACTTGGTACTGCACAACATTTTGATTAAAAAACTAGAACGATATAAAATTAGCATGGCACACATTAAATGGATTAAAAACTGGCTACTAGGTCTCAAAGTAATTGTAAATAGGGAATTGTCACAGAGCAAGTGCGTTTCCAGTGGGATCCCGCAAGGATGAGTTCATGGCCCTATGCACGTGAACATTTTTATCAATGACTTGGAAGAAAACATAAAATCATAGTTGATAAAGTTTGTAGATGACACAAAAAATGGGGGAGTGGTAAATAACAAAGAGGACAGGTCACTTATTCAGAGAGATCTAGATGCAACCTAATAATATGCATTTTAATACCACTAAATGTAAATGTATACATCTAGGCACAAAGAACATCGGCCATGCTTACAAGACGGGTGACTCTTTTCTAGGAAGCAGTGACTCTGAAAAAGATTTGGCAATTGTCATGGATAGTAGTTGAATATGAGCTCCTAGTGTGATGCTGTGGCCAAAAGAGCAAATCGATCCTGGGATGCACAAACAGGGAATATCGAGTAGGGGTAGAGAGGTTATGATGTGACCTCTGCTGGAATACTGTGCCCCATTCTAGAGCCCACAATTCAAGAAGAATGTTGATAAATTGGAGAGGGTTCAGAAAAGAGCCACAAGAATGATTAAAGGATTAGAAAACATGCCTTACAGTGATAAATTCAAAGATTAAAATCTATTTTGCTTAACAAAGAGAAGGTTAAGGGGGGACTTTAATACAGTCTAAGTACCTACATAAGTGACATGATATGCCGGAATAGTCTGTATACTGTAGACATACCCAAAGATGTCTTCTGACTTTAGCAACGTGGGCATGCATAATTGTTATTAATACGATAGAAGTGCATCAAAGAGGTCATTGAATGGTACACATTCTGCTTATAAATTAATAATATGGCTTAAAGGAGTAAATTATTTTTTAGCAACCAGAAGAGTAGATGATTATTACAAAAAATGAAAACAGATAAGCAGTGTATGTAAGCAGTGCAGAACAGTTACAGTGAATAAAGTAGGTCAGCCAGTTTCTATAATTAAAGCCAGCTAAATGAAGAAAGCAGGCATATTCGTCAGACATAATAAGGCCAAGTGACAAATCTCAAACAACACAACTCATTGAGATGGAACATAATGCATTCTAATAAATTGAGACCAGGAAAACAAGCTCAAAGTCAGACTTAGATAACATTATTAGAAGTAACCACACTCCTGCCTATTCAACATTTTCCAGAGAGTTAAGAAATGTATATTTCTCAAATTAAATCTCTCCCAATAGTGAGAAATACACAAGTACAGAAAATCCACAGAGAGCCTTTTTAACAAGGTTAATAACCATTAATGTAAAATTTAAAATAGTAAAAAACCAACTAACTCATTGTGCGAAATTTATTTTGGGGAAGTTCTATGGCCTGTGTTGTACAGGAGGACAGACTAGATGATCAGTGCTCCCCTCTAGCCTTGAAATCTATGAATCTTGGGCAAGTCAACTGCTTTCTCTTAATCTGTGAAATGGATAGGATAACCTCACAGAGCTTTAGTGAGGATTAATTAATTTTTAAGTATTTTGAGGTTATATAAAAGACTATTAATAAAGTAGATTAGGAATAAAGTAGTAAGTATTATTAAACTTATTGTACTGGTCCTTTGTATAATTCTATTATACCTTCATTGATTCATTTATTCTTAAGGGGAAACTCATTCTTACCCAGTGAGGATGTATCCTGTTATCGACGCCTCACAATCATCGAACAGTAACAGAAGTATGCTAGCCAACATTTTGAGAGACAGAAAAGGAAAGGAGAAGAGAAATAATGGTCACTGATACTCTGTCAAGGGAAAAAATCCTAAAAGGACAATATCCTCTTGCAACCTATATTTGAAAAACAAACACCTTTGACAGTGACATCTACAAGATTATTGGAAACAGATGAAAGCCCCATCCCTTGGAACTTTTAGGAAGGATAAAATAATATGTTGTTGGCAGCAATCCGACATTGGCCATGGCAGGTTGGACTAAGCCTGGATCGAGGCTGAAACACCATTTCCAAACAGTTATAGATGTGTGTTTTTATCTATCCATGTTTGCAATAAAAACATTTACAATACAGAAGTCCCTAACTCAAAGTCATGGTTTAACTCATGGCATTTAATTGCTGCCATCAATCCTGAGCCATAATAATTCACTGTATGAGACCTACACTCTGCAGATTTCTGAGAATGTCTGCTGTGCATATTCCTACTTTCTGCCTGCATTCTGCTTGGGTAGGGGGCTGCAAAGACGCTTCTTTTTCAGACTAGATGATCCTAATATTCCTTGTGTTCCTACAGTCTATGAGTCTATGAACTGTAGCAGAGAACTAGCTATCACAATCCTTAATGGCATCAGTAGGCCCTATCAAGAAGGCAAGTTAGAGAAAATAACTCTGAAACAACATGGTAAGGAGAAAAATGGGAGAGTGGGTAAAGACAGTAGAGAGACAAGATGGGTGAGGTAACGTCTTTTATTGGACCAACTTCTGTTGGTGAGAGAGACACAAGCTTTTGAACCACACAGAACTCTTCTTCAGCTCTAGTGTCATTTCCATAATCAGTCAAAGTTTGCATCCACCGTAGGAGGAAAAAAGCTAGATTTCACCCTGTTTTAGCTAACACATGGTAATTTACACAATGTAATATTTCAGTAAGGACAAGGCAGTTTTAACACGTTAGTAGGTTGAGGTAAAACTAAGCTCCTGCTTCTCCCTAGTGTTTGTGACCTCAACCTGCTAAAACCACAAATAATCTCATCCACACTAGAATTTTACCACGTATTAATACATGGTAAAAAAAACAAACAACCCTTTCTCTTAGTGAAGACAAGGCTGGGATCCACATTTTAGCTCATAACTGAAAAAAAGAAAATTACATTTCCAGGTTAGGAAGTTACTGAATATTTACAGCCTTCCCTGGACCTTTTTGCTCTTATGCTCTCCCTCTCCCCGCATCCACCCCTTCTTTTATTAGGCTGCACCTCCTTCAAAGCAGGGACAGCCCCCACCGGGTTTTTTTGGACACAAACACGACACGAATCAGGAAAATAATTTAGCCGCCAATTTGGTGGGGACAGGGCATTGCATGGCACCAGTGACTAATTCACAGCTTCTTCTCTCCACAACAAGAGCCGAGTTTTCCTCTCACTGACACCAGTTTTAGGCCGCTGTGTCTCCATAAGTTCCCCTCGCCCCCCATCTTCCCAGCTTTTCTTCCCGACCATCTCCCTCTTCCACCCCACCAAAATGCACCCCTTCCCCCCCTCCGTGCCCGAAATGCACCTCCTTCCCCCCGTGCCCCCTTTCTCCCCTCTCTGCCCCCCACTTTCTACCCCACCTCCCCTCTCCTTACACCGTCTCCTCACCCCATCCCCCACCTGGCTTCATCACCTCCCTCTCCGCCCCTTCACCTCCCCCGGGCGCCCCTCTGCCGGCCCTTCTCTCCCGCCCCTCCCCCCCCCCCCCCGGCTGCGGCCCAGCAGGAGCAAATCACCCCCCTCCCCGCGCCTTCCCGCCTCAGCTCCCCACCCCCTCGCCGTGCGCGCTCTCTGGCGCCGCTGCGGCCGCCGGATCCTCCTGGCCCCCCGCGGGCAGAGAGCGTCCGGGCGCTGCTGGGCGGTGGGAGCCCCCCGGGTGCGGGGTGGGGCGGGGGGGGAGGAGGGGGCGGCGGTGGCGGCTCCGCACACCCAAGATGGCGGCGGTGGAGCTGGAGTGGGTGCCGGAGACGCTCTATAACACGGCGATCTCGGCCGTGGTGGATAGTTACGGGCGGGCCCGGCGCCGCGACATCCGCTCGCTGCCCGAGAACATCCAGTTCGACGTGTACTACAAGGTGAGGGGGGCCGCGGCCTGGGGCAGATCCGCTCCCTGCCCCCGACAGCCCGCTCGTGGGCCCCTCCAAGGGGAGGGCCTCAGGCCCTGTTTGCCCCCCGGGGCTAGCCTCAGGTGGGGGAGCGTGGGGCGGCCGCAGCTAGGGCCGTGGGGGGGCTCCTGGGTCTGAGGTTCAGTCAGGGCCGAGGGCGGCTGCTGCTGCTGCTTCTCCTTCCCCCGCCGGACAGGGAGGGGCGGGCTGGGTGGGGATCCCCTGTAGGGGGTGGTGATTGGGCGGGGGTGAACCCAAATATTTCGGGGGGGAGGACAGTAGATTGTGGGGGAAGAGTGAGCCCTGTTTTGGCGGGAGGGGGGGAGAAGGGAGGCCTCCCCTCATTTTTAGAGAGGGAGACTTGGGAGGGCGAGCTTATTTTTTCGAGGTGGCCCGGGGGTGGGGGGGAGTCTTTCCTTTTGTGTGTTGGGGCTGGGGGAAGAAGAGTAAGATGATGCTCAGGGTAGAGGGACCAGAAACGTCTCCACCTTATACTTTCTCCACTGACCTACTGGGGAAACAGCCATCAGGTGAAGAGGTTGGGACCTTGCTTTAAACCACTTAATTCGTTGACCGCCGTCTTGTCATTTGCAGGGATTGGGGGAGACTCTTCTTCTTCCCCCTAAATCTAGAGTCAGTATAAAAGGTGTATTCACTGCACTGGCCATGTCCACTAGACTGGCATTTCATATCAAAGAAGTCTTCAAAATGAGCATCCTAGGGAGCAGGAGGTTCTGGAGCCCTCTAGTAGTGTCCTGAGGTGGGGCATTGCCTTTTCACGCTCAGGTCAGAAAGCTTTTAAAGAAACCTAGAGTGCTTTAAAGGGAAAACAAACATTTTTTCAGAAATATATTTGAGACAGATAACAGCCCTCCTGTCAGCCTAGAGTAGCAGTGTTCAGAGGTAAGGATGATCACTTGAGAGGGGAGAATATTTCCTATCAGAGGGTAACAGGCAAGGAAATTTACATATGCTAGATATTATTCATCTGCATTATGTGTTAGTCTAAGGGATACAGAAAAGTCTCTCTCCCGCACATACACTCATAGGTAGTATGGCTGTAGAGAGTGATTTATGGTGAGCTATTAATTTAACACTGTTTTGTGACTAACCTGAAGGAGTGCTTTGATTTTTTTTTGTTTTGTTTTTGAAACTGCCAATAGCTGTAACCACTGATAATCAGAATTTGCTGGAGCTGTCTCTCTTGGTATTTTTTTCACAAGCAGTGGGTATATTTCAGTAATCACTAAAGATGCACAAGGAACAGACGCTTTTAGGGGTAGTATTGATTTTTTTTATTTTTTATTTTATATTCACTGCCTTTATTCCTGAATCCTTGAAACCTGATCTGTAAGGGAGGTTAATAAGTAACTGACTTCTTTTACTATGTGTTCAGGTTGAATCTGATTCGCTTTGGTTGTTCTTTTTCCATAATGGAACAAGCCAATCCATCTGATGGATAAAGAGAGACTTCTCTCTCGTCTCCCCTTTATGCTCATGAACAGGAGTATGTTGCCCTGGTTGGGAGCGGCTAAGAAGTGAGCGTGCAAACTTTGTTCAGTGTTACCTGACCTCCAGAATAGTTTTTCTGTCACACTAATCAGGGACCCAACTTGCATCCACTTTTAAAAAAATATTTTTGCTAAAGAATATACCAAAAATCAAAATTTAGAATCTCAGGAATCTGGAAAATGTGTACAGCTTGCATTCCCACTAAATAAAATGTTGATTTATGTAATTTCCACATGTAGAGTAAATAAAACTACATGACACTGTTTGTTGAATGTCTTGCATAATAGTTTGTATTGTCATCTGTATTTTTCACTTTGAGTCTTTCGTCATGTCCTTAAGTATGGTTTAACCGTGGATGTAGTCTAATTTAGGTTCAAATGCTAGAAGAAACTCTGCACTTATGCAGAGCCCCATTCATTTCAGTGTGTGTGGGGAGGTGGGTGCATGAAGCTTCTTGTAAAATCAGGCTGTAGACTGTAAATTCTTTGGAGCAATGACTGTCTTTTTACTGCATGTCTCCAGAGCACCCAGTACAATGGGTCGTTGATTGGTGCTCCTAGGTACTATTGCAATACAAACCAATAATGTGGCTGAATCAGATTATGATACCGTTGGCCAGAACTACGGCTGAAGCCAAACTGTATTATAACCATTTTGGGTTTTGGGGTAGGGGGTGATTTTGGGTGGGGTTGGGGGTTTTTTCGGTTTGTTTTAAACAGCCAAGACTTTCAAAATGTTAGTGATTTTCAGTCCCCAAGTTGAGACGCTTTAAGGAAGCCTAATTTTCAGAGGGCAGAGTCCTTTTAAGATGTGTTAAGTAGGAAAACCAAAATTCACTAGTAGTCTAAGGGCTTGTCTACATTGTGCGTTAGTCCTCACCACTTGCCAGTAAATTCTAATGGACACAAGCATATTGTGCGTTAACTGGCCTGTGTTGACCCTGCTGATGTACGCTAGAGTTCCCTAGTGTGTGTTAATAAAGAACTGTTTTAAACAAGACTACATTAAAGAACACTGAAGAACTTCTAATGCCTCTGCCATCATGGAGGCAAGCCCTAAGAAAACCTTGGCTGAGCGTTTACTGTATTTACATAATTATTGGTCCTGTGGAGATAGGGCCTCAGTGAATTGTTAACACTTTTTACTCCTTGGTATCTATTCTCTGGGTATAATTGAGGAAAAGTAATTGTCTGATTGATGAGCATGAGCAATATTGAATGTCAGATAGTATGGAGTGGAAAATAAATGCGTAAATGGCATATACAGTGGAGTCTCATCTTACCTGGGGGGTTAGATTCTAAAGTCAGCGTGCAAGGCGAAAATCGCTTATAGTCAAAATTACCCTTGAAAATCCCTTAAATTGCCCAAGATTACAATATACTGTACATGGTTTTGTGTATACAACCCTGTATGGTAATATGTATAATAGAGTTCATATGCAAAATATAATTTTACAGTACTATATTTTTAATTACAGGGGGTAATTACAGGGGGTCGTCAGGGCTTGATGTCGACCCAGGAGACGGAGAGCTTGGGTGATGGAGAGCGAGTCGGAGACGAAGTGTTCAGCTCTGGTTCAGCTCGAGAAGTTGATTGCATAGGCTCGTCTGCTGCTGGTTGTTTTTCCTTGAAAAACATGGTGATTGGCAATTGTGTCTGTCTCTTGAGCTGCTCAAACATTTCTTGATACGGTCTCAAATTGTCAGTAATAGTACATGTGATTTTGAGGCTTCATTCCATAGAGGGATCGTATTCAGAAATTAAATCATGCAAGTGTTTCGCTGCTTGGAACACTTCAGCAAATTTATGAAAATTCCAACTTGCTGGCTCTTCCTGTTCGTCATCGTCATCTTCTGTAGGCGATTTTATCAGTTCCTCTAACTCCTCGTTAGTCAGTGTTTCTCTATGGCCGTCAATTAATTCTTCAATTTCTTCTTCAAGGATGTCGACGAAGCCATCACCACCCACTTGCCTGACCACCTGAACAATGCGTTTCACTTCTTTGTCAATGGTCGGGAAACCTTTAAAATCATTCACACATTCTTTCCATAGGTTTCGCCAACATGCATTGACTGTTTCAGGCTTGATTGCATCCATTGCCTGTTTAATATAAGTGATGCAATCGGCAGTGTTGAAGGACTTCCAACACTCCATCACATTAAGATTGGGATCGGCATCCATAGCGCTACATATCCGTGAGAACGTAAGCCTCGTGTTCATGGCCTTGAGACAGCGAATCACACCTTGGTCGAGAGGTTGGAGGATGGAGGTGGTATTGGGGTGGAGAAAGACCACTTCAGTGTCGTTATGCGCTAACCGGAGTGCCGCAGGGTGGCCAGGAGCATTGTCTACGATCAGCAGTGCTTTAAAGTCAAGTCCTTTCTCTTCGAGGTACTGCTTGACCTCCGGAATAAAACACTTGTGGAACCAATCCAGAAATAATGCTGCCATCACCCAAGCCTTTTTATTTGATTGCCAGAACGTAGGCAGGAGATTTTTGTTCTTGCCTTTTAGGGCACGGGGATTTGCAGCCCTGTAGAGCAGGCCCGGCTTTATTAAATGCCCAGACGCATTGCCACATAACAACACAGTCACACGGTCTTTAGTTGCTTTGAAGCCAGGGGCTTGTCTTTCTGATTTCGAAGTGTAAGTGCGGTTGGGCATTTTTTTTCCAGAAGAGCCCAGTCTCATCAGCATTAAAAACTTGTTCCAGAAGATAGCCCTTTTCTTCTATGATTTTCTTCTGCTGCCTCTTCATTGGCAGATGCAGCTTCACAGTAGTCTGCACGTTTTTGAGGTTGAAGCAGTTCCTAAAACTGTTAAGCCAACCTTGGCTGGCTTTTAATTGCTTCTCATCAGAAGGCTGTCCCTCTTCGGCAGGAGGTTTGAACATCACGTAGAGGCTAAGAGCCTTTTCTCTCAACGTGTTGCCATCGATAGGCACACATTTATGGTTCATGTCTTCCAGCCTTTTCAGTCTTCATTAAAGTCTTATCATGCAACTGGCTCGTCACCTGAGCAATTATTGGAGCACTTGAAGCCACGGCTTGATGAGTTTCTCTCTCTCGAATCTTGATGGAACGGATGCTAGATTCCTTGTGGCCATATTTACGCGCCACTCTGGAGACCGACATACCGTCTCTCAATAAGTCCAACACAGCCAGTTTTTCCTCCAGCGTTGGAACAGATCGCTGTTTCTTCGGCTGAGCACCAGATGAAGTAGTTGGCTTGCGTTTAGGGGCAAT